GGAATATTTTGGCCAACGATATTTTTTTGGAGCCGAAGTCGAGGCTCAATAACTGGTGGGTCATTTTCCGATTGTCTATCGCGAAATCTCCCGTTGTGTGGGTTAAGCGTAGGGAGGCGTGTACATGTACCTTTTCGGCAGCACAACACTTGCTCAAGCTTATGTTTCTCATCGAGGCTGTTGGGCAACCTTCGTCATTCGTGTTCGATCGGGGGAAACGTCGGACTATTCCTATCATGGGGACATCTCCAACGGGAACGTGTCGGATTCGAGGGCGAATCTTGCTCAACCGGAAGATAATGGTGCAGAATAATAAATAATATTTATTATTATTATTATTATTATTATTATTATTATTAATATTATTTAATAATTAGTAGCTTAGAGAATAAGCTAGGGTGAGGACTTTATTTAAAGAGATCTGATGCTTTGTTATTGAGCAGTTGAATATGAAATAAGAAATCGGTTTTTGCGTATTATCAAGAGAGAGTATCTCTTTTATCTTCCCATTCGTAGGCTTTTCCCTACATCAATTTTTTTATTAAATTTTAAAATTAATGATACAAATTATTTTTAATTTTATCTTTCAACAATACTAGTACAACACTCTAGAAGTGCACAAAGTTCGGTTAACCAAGCCGAACCGACCGAAACCGAAAATTCGGTTTGGACCGAAACCAAAACTAAATATTTGGTTCGGTTTTTGGTTTACATTTTCTTAAAATTTCAGTTTTCGGTTCGATTTGGATAACTGTGATCGGTTAACCGAACTGAACCGAAAACCGATTTATACACATAATATACATGTTTTTTATTTATACATAAAAGTTATAGAAGTAGTAATTTACTTCAATAATTGATGATTTTCAAGCTTCAATGACCCATAAAATGGCTCAAGCATTAATTTACACTCAAGATTGATTTCGTCATAGTCTAAGTCACAGTTCGGGTACGAGATCTTCCTTTGAGGATAATTTAGAATTTATTGATAAGATTAAACAAGGTGATAAATAATATTTTTTTTTTNNNTTTTTTTTTTTTTTTTTGGTTCGGACAAAACATCAATTTTTTGTTTGGGTTAAAAATTCATAATTTATTGAGAAGATTAATTATTTATTGCAATTAACCAAAAACAGAATCGAACCAACCCCTAGATTTTCGGTTAAAAGTCGAACCAAACCGTAAATTTTGGTTCGGTTAACGGTTATGATAATGGACAAATCGAATTTTTGGTTAACCAAAAATTCAATGGGTTCTATTCGGTCAAAATCGAACCGAACCGATCTTGTACATCACCCTGAATGACACTTGTTACTTGTGCGACTTACAACTGTTGTATTATAGTAATTTTTATAACTTATATCATATACCTACTTGAAATATAAATATATTAAGTAATAAATATTTTTATTTTTCAAATTAATATTAAAAATAATTTTATTATTGTTACAAACATAAATATAAATTTTTTTTCTTGCACATACAATATAGATGTTAAATCGAAGTTCAACAAGAGATGACTAATTTGATATATTTTATATGTAAAACTGATAAAAAACCCAAAGGTATTAACGCTTAAAATACATTTACAATTCAATAGTTATAATAAGAAATAATATTAAAATATAATAAATATACGTCACATAACCATATATAATCAACATATTTATGGATAATTCATACCTAATTATTTTTGGATCAGAAGTAAATTAAAATATACCCAAGTCTAATAACAAAACATGTAGTTTTTCCACTTAAGATCTCGAAGCATGCGAGTCTGTCACTTAAGCTCAGCACGTTTGAATTAATATACATGCCGATCCATCATCCATCTTAAATTTAATAGTACTCATTTAATTTTATATTTAATATCTTAGAATTTTATGGTTGTTGATGTTAATGCCATCATCAAAAGGTCACGAGAAAACACATGGGATAGTTATTTCAAACTTGCTATTTATTTCCTACAATTATTATTGTTTTTAATTATTTTTTTTATTTTATTTTTTATTTTTTTATTTTTATTTTTTTATTTTTTTATTTTATTTTTTTGTAATGGGCTTGATTTACTGCTAGCATGCAAAAGTTTCCACATAGGAAGACTTGGAAGTCAACATTTGAATGGGTCTTAATTAATAACATGACTCTTCAAAATTGTCCACACTCTTATATCATAGCCATATTTTTCTATCTTTTAAACTGTGGCCATGTTCCTCACGGCAGCCTCATATTTTTCTTTATTTTTTTTTTCTTTTTATTTCGTGTCAATTACTCTCTACTATAGAACAAGTTTTCATGTGACCTCATCCATTATATCATTAGTTAAATATTTAAAAAAAAAAAATTCTTAATTAATCCACTCATATTTGTAAATGAAAAGTAATTAATACTAAACAAGCTCGAGCATTAACGAGTAGGTCAAGTCTTAATGCTCTTTAAACGAGCCCAAACTTTAACGAGCCGATCATTTTGTTTAATAGCTTTACATTGCATATTCCACGGCCAACAAATTGTGGGGAAAAAAAGAAATACAAAAAAAGAATGTAATATAGTAGCATAGAATATAATTTGCCCGAAAAATGTTTTTTTTTTTAAGTGATTCCATAAAGAACAACACATCTCCTTTTAGGAAAATTCGATATTGCCCATGTAGGCACTGTCCACATGACCCAATGGGCTTTTTTATCATTGATTTCACACACACCTGTGTGTGTTTATATGTAGATCAATGGTAAAAAACCTATATAGGCAGTGCCTACATGGACAGGATCGAATTTTCCCTACTTTTATGGGGTGGGATGTTGTCCAGACTCCAAATCCACTAGCTGAATATTCCTGGTAAAAGGCCTCGGGGGCCATCTTTCCTACTGGCCTGGTGCAGAAAAGGCCCTAAAGCAGCCCAGATAATATGGAATAATGTACTCAGGATAATGTTGGCATAAAATAAAGAAAATTACTCACCATTGCTAAAAATCTTATGTCTATAATTATTTATTGATTTTTTTAGTGTCAGTTATAATACATAATACTCTCTCCTATTTTTATTATTTGTCATTTTGTGAAACAACACGCTAATTAATTTTTTTTTGCCCATAGTAACCCTATTTAATGGATGTTATGGGAAACTATGGAGATGAAATATGAAGAGACACTGTGCATTGATGGAGGGTTAAAAATTGAAAAATATGAACAAAATAGCCAAAACGACATGTATTTCATCAATGATCTATTAAATTAAAGTGACAAATAATGAAATAATAAAAATAGGAGGGAGTAATACATAATAATCCTTTCAGTAGAAAACAAGTACAAAAATACGCTAACTTTATTACGGTAAATTGTGCGTATTAATCATCCGAAATTTACTTTCCTTCTCATCGAAAAAATAATAACTCATGTTCAAATACTCGACTTGTTAAAGCCTCGAGATAAACCTTTAGTTGTTGTCCAAAAAATTTCAAAAATTCGTCTCTTTTATTTGTAGTTTTCATCAATGATGGCGAAGAGAAAATTGAAAGATTATGTTTCAAATTTTCCCTTCAAAATCGAAAACTCGAATAACCCTCTTTGAAATCCTAGACGTGCCGCGCAACAACAAAGGAGAAGTTAGCTAGCAGTTGGAAAACTCTATAAAAAAATGGTGACTTAGGGCATCCACAACCCTTTAACACAAATACAATTCATTCAATCAAAAAGTAACACTTTCTCTCATCCACATCATCTTTTCACAAAATCTCTCTCCATTTAAACACACATCCACATTTCTACACATTTATTTAAATACATATGTGAGACTCATTATCCACTTATTCAACATAATTTTATAAAGAAAAAAGAAAACAAAAAAATAAAAAGTGAAAAAGGAACACATTTTGCGTTCAATGGAATGAACGGATAGTGGGAGTCCCACCATTTAATGAACAACCACAATTCTATTTAATACCAAGTTACCATTTAAACCAGTTGAACGAGACAATTTAACGCACCATTGCAGGTGCCCTTAGAGAGCATATGCATTGGCATCTCATTTGATCCAATATGTAAACTCATTTTAATGAAAATGGCTGTTGGGACCTACTCTGTTAATGTCATAATGTGTTTAAATGACATAAGCCACAACATCTCAACGATTGTTCATTGTCTCATGTTTATTAATTTGTTTAATTATATCTTATCAATAATTCTCGAACATTTTTAGCTTATAACTTATAATTTACAGTTGAAAAACTAGTTTATATGATAAAAGAGTTTGGTAAAATTAACTAATAAGATAATTGAAATAAAAATTTCCATTAACTTATTTGAAAAACTATCTAATGATGCTTATGAGATAAACTCGAAATTTTTTAAAAAAAACTCCCAAATAAGTTATAAGCTAATTTATTTATGTACAAAACATCCGCCACTACTAAGTATACTTTAGTACTGACTCGCGTTAACGGTGAAATTGTCAATAAAGTCGCTACCTGAAAAAAATATGGTTACAAATTACAATTTACAAGTCGAGATGACGCCTCAGGAGACTACAGTGGGCCGCAAAACACAGGAACAAGATTTAATTTATCTTCGTGTTCCCTTTTTTGGGGTTCCGATTTGTTTCAGAAAATTTTAATTTGTCTCAAATTGTTTATTTTCATTTTGTTTTAATTTTGTTATCAGCGAGGGATGGTGGGGAAATCTTTGGCTGCTCCTTTGCTAGCTTTTGATTCGACAGTTCACCTCTGTTCTTATGTAAGTTCTTTTGTCTATGTTCTTATCATCCTCAAATATGCTGTTCTTGCATCCAAATCGTTCCGTCGGGATTTGCAAGATCATCGTGTAACCGTCGTAGATAGTTGATCTAACGGTTACAAATCCTGACGGAATAGTTCCGTAACGGGACCGTAAAAAATGATAGACAACCTAGAGCTAGAGCATTTGGAAGGCACTATCATGAACTGAATTTTGTGGGAATTCAGAATTTTATTAGAAATGGGTTATGTTGGGAGTAATAAGCAAATTAGTTTTCAAGTTTCTTCATATCTTGGAGGTTCTTGATGCTAAATCTTCACCCAACTTCTCTGTCTAATCATTGAAAAAAAAAAATAAAAAAAAATCAATGATTCGTGTAAAGAACTACGAAATCAATAGGGCATCGTGTGATTAACAAAACGCTATCTTTGGTTGCTCTTTCGATTATCATTTTTAAGTACTCATATCTCACATGCCAACTGCTTGCAGTTAAAATTCATCTGGTTTTCTCATATCAGCATGCCAAGATCAACTAGATACTGCTATTTACACAGTAATCCTGAGGCATTTTTTTCGTAATTTGCTGATTCTTGCTCATTTTGCAGCATAAAATTGTTTCACTACCGACAGGCAGACCAATCAATGTAAATTTTGCAATAACGACTCGAGTTTCTAAGAATTGGGAGTTGCGTTCAACCGCTCAAGTTCAGGACACAGTTCTCAGTGAAGAAGAGAATAAAAAATGGGAATCTTGTAAACAAGCTCTATCTGCCTTTGGTTTTGCGAACGAGGAAAGTGAAAAAATCCTCGGCAAAGCATTTGGACAGATTCATTCTCCTTATTGGGGAGAAGAGAGGAAAAAAGAAGTCCCGAGTTTTGAGGCCGTGAATGAAATTTTAAGTTAACTTAAGGATTTAGGCTTAACAGACGATGATCTCGGCAAAATCCTCATTAAATTCCCTGAGGTGCTCGGGTGCAGCTTGAAAAGTGAAGTGAAAGAGAATGTGCGGATTTTGGAGCAAGAATGGGGCATTAAAGGGAAAACACTAAGGAATCTTTTGCTTCGTAATCCTAAAGCTTTGGGTTATAATATCGATTGCAAGGGAGATTGTATGGCGCAATGCACTCGTTGCTGGGCCCGATTTTAGTTGCTTCTGTATAGGTATGTATTCTTGATCAAGTTATACTTATTTTTTGTTCTTTGATACTGTATGCTATACTTTTGTACACTGTTACTCAGTACCTTTTGCAATTAAGGACAACATTATGTAAAAATGTTAATTATCTGTTTATTACAACAAATGCATTGTTGATATCAAGGGGTTTGGTCTTTTTGATGATTTAGAAAATAGCTATGAGGGTGATTTTTTTCTTTACTAATAGAGGACGAAAGAGAGAGAACAGACTAAGTTGTATATGTTTGCTAATTTGCATATGTTTGGTTAGTCAAGCTAAAAGGCTAGCTCATGGCTGATAAATTCACTGATAGTTTGTAACTTAATTTCGAGCTGATAGCTTATGGATGGTGACTGAAAAATTAGCTGATATAATTAAGTTGTTTGGTAGAATTAGCTGATAAATCAGTTGATACAAAATTCTCAATTGGCCTTTCTGAAACGCTACGTAGACAAGCATATGAGATGAGCTTTAGATTTTTGAAAAATTTCTTTTTACGAAACCAAACTTATTTGAACGCAAAAAACTTATAAGCTAACTAAATAAGCTATTCAGTTAGATTATGGTGCTTGCCGAACACACTATCTATCTTTACTTGTTCTTTGTCTATTTGTTGTTGGCTTTTCATTCATTGGCTATGACTGAAATAAAGGATCTCCATGTTAAATACTTGACATTTTTAACTCTAAAATGATAGACGAGTGTTTGCTCTGCAACTGGATGAAACTGAGAGATTCAAATTTTTCATTCACCAGATAATAGAACAACAAACAATAGCAATACAACAAAGACACCTCACTAGCACTAGGCATCACCAGTCACCACTCATTTATTGACGAATCAATTTATTACCAGATTCTGATACCCATGGCTTTCAGAATCTACACGAATCTACACAAGAATTATTTTTTCTCTCACACACACACAGAAAGCAAACACCTGATCCACTCAGAACATTCAAATCAAGGAATGTTACAGACAAAGATCATATGTATTCATTCAAGGGCATTTAGGTCTATTTCCATGTGTTCTTAGGCTTGCATAGCAAGGGCAAAGCTCCTTGTTCCCGTAAGTCCCGGGAGGGACACAGTGGCACCTTCTGCAACAGGTGTTGCACGCTCGGTGGCAGATTTTCTTTCTGGAAGCCTTGCTGCACCTTCTTGCGCATGCTTGCCTGCAATCTTTCATTCGATTTTTTTTTTTTTTAGGAAAAATAAGAAAATTTAAAATGTGATCTGGTTAATGTTTAGCATTCATGAGATATGAAGAAAGAAAGCATAAAATATTTTATTTACTGATTCTGTAAGGGTGGTGTTTCTTGAGCAGGGCTCCATAGTTCGCGCCCTCATCCTCCTGATGTGAATATGTTCATTAGATGCGAATAAAGTTTAGTTTTATTCAACAAAATGAAAACTGAGAATGTAAACTGCAAAAAGTTTCAGTTTATTTCTGAAACTACAATAACAAACACACCCTCTCCTCAGAAGTAATTGGTAAACAGCAACAAAGGCCAAAGTTGATATGTATTTGTAATATCAAACGATTATCGGGATTTTTCTGGCTAAACTTAGGGTAGTGTAAAAAAATACAACTGAGATAAAACAACCTGAGCAAGAGAATGTGAAGTATCATCACTGGCTGGTGATACCTCTGCCACCACAAAAACCTGAAAAATGTCGAAAACGTGCATGAATATAATAAGCACTGTCATTAAAAACTTCAACACATGTATATCTTTTTACATATATAAATGTTAAGAAACCTGAATGAAGAGAATGGCTATCAGAAGCATTAGTAGGAGCTTCATCTTTCTGACTTTATTTTCGTCTCGTCACGAAAATATACTAACAAATGATCAATTTTTCTTTTTTCTTCTTCCAAACTTGGATTTCTTGGCTTGTGGCTGATGCTATAGCTAGCTGGCTATTTATATAAAGATCGATCGAGCTGCTATTTTCTTTTTTCTTCGCACTTTTTAGAGGGATCACATGCGACGATCGATCGTGTAAGGAAACAAAAATCACAGACTAAGTGTGTTTGCTGAAAAGATTTAGCTAGTAAATGCTTCCCAACTTGTGTCTTTTGCAACTTTTGCAGTTTGTGTGCTATAGCTATGTAATAAGCTTTTGACATTGTGTGTGATAAACAGCTGTTTGATTCCTCTGGCTTTATGTGCATGCATGGACAAAGACTTGTAGCATGTGTATGGTCCCCATTTTATTTTATTTTGCTTAATTTTATATAAATATATTACAGAGAGATCAACTGATAAAATAGAAATTTCAGATACATTTATAAGTTTTTGTGTTGGTATATATTATTAGTTCATCACAAATAGAAGTAAATGCTGAGATCATATTGGCTAATTACACATAATATTTAGCACAATTCACAATCCCACCACTACCATTTGAATTTTAATTTCACTCTGACCCTTCATGTCTAAGACAGAATCAATTCAGTCAAATGTTAGTGACTCTTCTGCAAATTTTTAGAAGCTTTTGGGTTCATCTTCAAACTTACAAGTTACTATGTCAATAAGGCTATTGTTAGACAGACGATTAGACAATTATATTATAGAAAGTGTAACATTTCATAAGCATATATTTTGTTTAAAAATTATGATGGACTAACTATTCTCATATAAAAAATTGCGCTTCAGTATATTCATTTTCTTTAATAATTATCTGATAAGGGGGAAAATATACATTTATTAGGCGACACGTGGCTCGGGAGAATAAAGACACGTGTGTTCCAAGAACCGTTGGTATCCAAGGTCAAGGCCGAAGCCCAACCTCAATTTAGGCCTAAGGTCCCGATGAGTCTCAATTTAGGCCTAATGTCCTCAAGAGCCTTACATTAGGCCCAAGGTCCAAAGGTGGCCCAAATGAAGGATCATAGTCCACCAAGCTAGTGGACTGAGAAGTCCTCCGTCTGCACAGGGAAGACCTAAGTCATCCGACCTCTATAAAAAGGATGACCTAGGTCAAGGTAAGGCCATTGACTCTCTCTTCTACTCAATACTCTACAATTGCCACCCTAAATCTAAAACCAATTCTAACTTAGGCATCAGAGGATCTACCCCTGAGGACAACCCCGAGGTTCTGTTTTGCAGGCGTCGGAGCAAATGAAACGCAGTAAGGAGGACGTCGGAGCATACATCGCCGCCACGTGTCCTCGAACTAACGTCAAGTATTTCTTGTATCATCATTATCGAAACTCAATGTTATTCTGTCCTTTTTTCACGTCTCTTATTCTAAATTCTAAATTCCATCACCAACTTTTCTCCACCTTTTCCAAGAATCCCAAAGTAAATCATGAATTTATATATTCATTAAAAACTATAGACAAGGTACTAATCCATGCCAAAGCTAATGTGAAGCACATAACTAAGAACCCTTTTTTTTTTTTTTTTTTTTT